CGTAAGGGCTGGTTTGCTTACCTCCGACGAGAGGAAATAATTGCTTTGAAAGAAAATATTTCGGTCAGGATTTCGCCTATCTGCCTGAATTGTTTAGTTTTGTTAACTGTCTGACAGGTCTAAGAGATACATGCATGGCGTTTTCTATCACTACAGCAGCCCAAACAGTAGTAGCAGCACACTTCTACCACCCCCCCCCCCACCTTCCTTACTCCAACAGGCCCTCCCGAATTGTTTTGCCTCGTTAACTAACTCTAAATCTCAGCATATGTGACAGAATTGTTGACATGTTTCCTTTTGTCGACAGCAGCACGTCCTTCTTTGGACAGCAGACACCAACCTTTTTACGCTGAAAATCGGCAAACATCCTTGTGACTTCTCTGAGTCTGTGCTGAGACTCAACCATCTCTCTCTATTTTTCACCCTGAAAAAAATACGAAACTGCTGAGTACGCAATTATATGGCAAGAAAGCGAGGGACACAAGATATGGTCATTCTACGCAACCTAAAGGCGGATTTTACTATGAAAAGCAACACAGTGCAAGTGAACGTGGTGAGCAGTTTGGAACTCAAGCCTAACTGCGTCATTTTTCTTTTTTTCTTTTTCTTCCTTTACTTTTCTTTTAAGTCCTCCCCCACCTATTTACCAGGCATAGTACTGATGAAGTAACAACTGATGCTGAAAAAAATTTAGCAGCGACTTCCACAAGCCCATCTTTCGATTACCGGGCTGTGCGCTCATGTCGTTGCGGAGAGGAGGGTAGCACCCAAGTGAGTGAGCCATTTACAGCGCTTGGACTAAGCCTTGGGGAGGGGAAGGGATCCTGGGGGTGCATGTGCAATTTGAGTGCTCCCTGGCGTTTCTCTCCATTGCTGGGCTTATCCCAGCCTCACCAATCATCTGCCCTATTTCGAATGTTACCTCTCACCCAAGGATATGAGCAGTGTAAGCAATTTTAATTCTCCCCAAACTTCCTTCTATCCTCCTAGGCTCTGTCCACACAAAGATGCCCCACCCCACGGCATCAGCGCCTTCCAACCAGGGTCAACCCTACGTTGTTACTAGTAACAACGGGGGGGGGTCGTACTTGGTTGAGTTTGAAGGAGGGGGTTGGGTGAGTTGAGGGAAGCCGGTAGAAGTAGAGTAAAATGGCGGAGATATAGGGAATTTTTACTGTTTCAGAGTAGCTATATCCCCCCCCCTCCCCGCTCGACGGCATTTTTGGAGGAAAAAGTGGGCGGAGTTTGGTGGGTTGAGTGGTATCAGAATTAAATACTATAGAGACGATGATGGTGGTCGAGGTGTCGAAAAGGGGGTCGTATCAAATCCACCTTGGGGGCGTATCAAATCCACCTTGGGGGAGGGGGTCGTAAAAATTTTTCAAAAGTAACAACGATAGGACTGACCCTGCTTCCAAACCCTATGAAAAACTTCCCAATAGACTTCTGCGCCTAGTAAGTTTGAGGCAGTAGGAGAAGGCCTGCAGCGCTCAGGGAATTAAGGGAAAAGGAAGAGGGAGACATTCAAAAGAGGAGCATTCAACTGCCTGAATGCTGAGTGACACTAGAAGTGAGCCCAAGCCACCAGAGAAAGCGAAAATTAATCGCATCCTTTCCCAGAATCCCTAAGATCGTTTCCACTCCCTGAGGCTTATTCCCAAGTACTGTAAGTGGATCACTGAGTTGTGTCCCCCAGGTCAAGACGTGAGCATAAAGTCCTGCTTCTACTTATGGAGAGGGAGACATCCAAGGAATTTTGCTGCAAAACTTCCACCATTGGCTGCACCCGAAGAAAATTTGCACATGTGCAATGGGCAAAGAGCACATGTGCCAAGTGTTTTTGGGGTCTTATTCCAGTAAGGGGGGGGCATGTGCTACGACGTTTATATTGCCATGAGAGTATTGTCAGGTCCACGCACCACAGAGGTTCCCGCTCCCCCCTCCCTTGCAGAAAATGGAAGTTATGCAGCCGGCAAGAACTGTCGAACCACATGCCCCCTTACCGGATAAGACCCCTTTTTTGCTCCACTTCGGTGTGAGTGACCCCAAAGGTTCAGGAGTGTGCAGGCAATCGACCGCTAAACTATACAACAACAATGGTTAACTTACAGAAAACCGACTAAGAAGCACGAGTGTGAGTGAAGCAATGGGGAAACACCTACAGTTCTCATTCGTGTCATGATAATCAGAACTAACTGTTTACATGAGGTTAAGCATCTGATTTAGTAATCAGCACGTCTACAACCATAAGCTAATTCGAGCAATGGAAGGAGAAGTCGGTGCAGTGGTAAGTGGTGCTGGCCAGGCCACGGTTCGGTGTGAAATCCTTAGTCGCGTTAGGTCAAAAATAAGAAAGTTTCCGAACTTATGACTGCTACTGTTACGGACTATGACAAAAACCATGTCACAGTTGGAAATGGTCTGTGAAAAATATGAGCTTTTGAAGTGGAAGATCGAGCGGGTGTCGATGTTGATGAACGCAGCCCAAGCCCAAATAAAGCTTCCTTTTCTTATAGCTAATATACCTGAATTGCAAATTTCAGACTGGAGTTGAAGAGAGAGCACTGCAGAAGAAATTCAAGATCCTTTTCAAGGAGCACTTCTGCTCTCTTAAGAGCAATGACACACAATTATTACAGAACATCGTCGGTGAAACATGCAGGAGAAAACCCCTGAAGACAACCCCCACTTATTCTCAAGTAGCTCGCTGTCTGACAATGCAAAGAGTATAGAAATCTTAAAAATCGATGCTCAAAGAAAAACATTCATATACCAAACGACAGACAAAGGCATATGACATTGATGAAAACTCAGTGGTAGTTGTACTTGCCCCTTGCAAGAGGTGCGGGTTCGAGTCCCGTCTGGGGCGAAAGTTTTGTTCACAACCTAGCATTCTCGTGAAACATGTGACGTAATATTCTGCGGATTGTCCAGTTTCACTGAAGCCCACCATGTGATGGACGCCGCTGCTTGAGCTGAGCCGGTCTCTTTGTAAAAAGGCAAGCCCTTCATTTTAGTATTGTACTTAGTAGAGACAGAAGCTACGATAAGTTAGAGTTTGAAGGGCAAATATGCGTTCTGCTCTTTTGGTACAGAGAGCTCGACAATGCGCTCTCGTCGATGATGGCACCCATCGTAGAAGCGCATACAGAGCGGAAATTTAGGAGCAGAGGGTTTGCGTTTCGAGTGGTTTACGGGGCGTTTTTCTTTCCGTGACACTATTTAGGGCACTGATCCAGTAAGGGGGCATCAAGTGGCTGCCCTCCCACCCCCTAGACTGCCTACACTCCCCCTGGCGCACAGGTTTCTCGAAGTACGGGACCCCGTGAGCCAGGGGGAGTGAAGGCAGTCTAGGGGGTGGGGGTGAGGGCAGCCACTTGACGTTGCATCACAATGCCCCCCCCCCTTACCGGATGAGCGCCTATTAGTGTATAAACTTCCATTTTCAGTGCGACCTTATACATTTGAAGAAAACCTCGACCAATTAAGCAATGATACATACAGTGAAACAATTTATTAAATGTCATCGTAATCTCACATGAAATCTGATAGAGAAGTCCTCTTAAAATATTAATATTGTCTCTTTTTAACGATATTTCTTCTGTTTGTCAAGGATATTTCTCATTTTTCTGAAATAAATCGATTCATTTGACTTAAGCACTCACACTCCCATTTCCTCAAACAATCGTCCTACCGTGCGCATCTTGTGCTGTTCCATAGCTGGACGTTTTGGATAACCCTGAAGTCGGTAGTTTTCATGTATTAAAGAAGCAATAAGCGAGAAATCACGATAAAGTGTGTGTGTGTGCAGCCAGCATGCACTGATGGAAGCAGTAGTCAGGGGCCTAAGGAAGCGAGATGTGGCTTTTTCACGGCCTAAGGTGAGCTAGTTGCAGCGCACTGGGTCTCCAGCCTTACTGAGCTCAGCCTTCGCCTGCTGTGCTCCGGTGCCAGCAGGCAACACTCCTAGGTTATCGTTTCAAGGGTATTTCACTGCGAGGGGCGGTGTCCTTTAATTTTCCGGAATTCTATTGCATCAAAGTATGATGTCTTGCTGAAAGATGTAATCTACTATGTTTTCACTACTTGACAAACACATTGAATTGGTCGACGCCGTCGCGAATCTAGGCCCGACCCCTTACAAGGGAGGTCGAACAAGGGTGTGCCCAAGCTTTTTCAAAATGGTTTATTGCATGATATAGGGGCACATATGGGAACCACAGCATGGTTAATTTTTCCTGAACGGCCTCTCTGAATACCAGAAAAGGGGGTCCCTAGTCACACCTTTTTCACCAGTTTTTCAATCAAAGTCTATTTGTAAGGGTTACTGACGGTCCTAATCATGAATATGGTACTAATTATTCATGCTAACTCCATTTTGCGCGAATTTTGAAACGTCAACTCGAAATGCAAAAATTTGTCACCACGAGGAATCGAACTAGGGACCCCTTTTCTGGTATTCAGAGGGCCGTTCAGGAAAAATGAACCATGGTTCTGTGGTTCCCGCATGTGCCCCTATATCATGCAAGACCGTTTTCAAAAAGCTTGGCACACCCTGAACGACCTTCCTTGTTAGTTCGTTGCAGGCTCGTCCATTACCGGAGGTCAACGGGCAAAGCAAAGGGCCCCCATTCTGCGTGTTCTAGACCAATTTCTTGGCTTTTTTCCTCAACGAGACATTACACGATATCCCCACTTCCACTAGGAACCCAACCTGATATTATCGTAATCCTTCGCTTCAATATGGTTACGTTGTAATGCTGAAACTTTTGAGGCAGAACAGACCGAAACATATGGACAACCAAGTTTTTCCATGTATCATTTTTCCCATCATTTTTCACTATCACGTCTGAAGGAAAATGAAAAAAAATCAATTAAAAACCGTACCAGTAGTCTCCAGATCAAATCCAATAGCCCATGGCCGCCTTCTTGCTTGGCAGGCTTAAAAATGCAAAAAAAAGATGAGAATTTTTTCAAGAAGTAAGCAAAATTGTTTTCGGAGATAATTTGCAAATAAGCTGTATATTAGTTTTACTTGTTCAACTTTCCTCGTCACCAGTTGGCTTTTTCGGCTTCGCATCATTCTGATAATGTATTAATGGATTCAAATACGGACCTCAAGTTCGTAATGGATCTCCGCCATATACAATAACCTACCTTAGGGGTCTTTCCCTCGATTTTAGTTTTTGCTCGCCCATCTTTTTGATCTTCCTTCGATTTTTCCTGAAAAGAAAATCAGATTTCTAACATAAAAAAGAAGTACATCCCATCGTTGGTTGCTTATATCGCCCTACAAAAAAGAGACCAGAAGAAAACTTGTCCAGTTATATCTCGAAACATGATTTTATATTCAAAGTGGACCTAGAAACTACGCATATGACCTAAACGTGTCTGTCTATAGCCTACCTTGGACTTTTTCCCCTCGAGCTTGCTTTTTGCTCGAACATCTTTCTTATCCGTACTTTCCTTTTCTTGCTTCTCCTCCTGAGAAAATGTTGACATTCATTCAAAGGACAATTTTCCGCTCTCCAATTTTTTCCAATGAAGAAAAGGAATCAGATGATCAGGACTACAGCACAAAAAGACTATGCCTATTCCACCTTATTTTCCTGAACCTTTTGTTCGTGTTCTATTTCCTTCCGCAACTCTTTCTGCTGAAACAGCGTTATTTGGTTCAAATTACTTTATTTATTATTATTACCAGTTTGGCTGCGCACGCATTCGCGTGCATGAGACGGGGCTGCAGCGGTAAAATCGGGCCCATCAGTATTTTTGTCTTGATTTTAGCTTTCTGCTCGGTACATCTTACTTACGCCGCAAACTCCGCCCACATCCGGGTGTGCCACGCCCAGCGTTCACATTCAACCTCTACTCCTACTTTCACCTCTGGCATATTTTTTTCAGGTCTCTAAGTCATCTCGGAGCCGAATTATGAGGTCTTGTAAATGGCGTTTATGAGTCACGAATTTCTGAGGCAGACCCCGCCCACTTTGGTGCATGGTTAGCCCAACAATGGCATTCAACCCTACTCCATACCTCAATACTTATGCACATTTTCCCCGGTCGCCGGAACTTCTAGGAACCGAGTTATGAGAGCGGTGGCAAACTCCGCCCACATCCGGGTGTGCCACGCCCAGCGTTCACATTCAACCTCTACTCCTACTTTCACCTCAGGCATATTTTTTTCAGGTCTCTAAGTCATCTCGGAGCCGAATTATGAGGTCTTGTAAATGGCGTTATGAGTCACGAATTTCTGAGGCAGACCCCGCCCACTTTGGTGCATGGTTAGCCCAACAATGGCATTCAACCCTACTCCATACCTCAATACTTATGCACATTTTCCCCGGTCGCCGGAACTTCTAGGAACCGAGTTATGAGAGCGGTGGCAAACTCCGCCCACATCCGGGTGTGCCACGCCCAGCGTTCACATTCAACCTCTACTCCTACTTTCACCTCAGGCATATTTTTTTCAGGTCTCTAAGTCATCTCGGAGCCGAATTATGAGGTCTTGTAGGGGACGAAATCGAGCTACGTATCTTTGTGGCAAACCCCGCCCACTTTGGTGCGTGGGTCGCCCACTGATATCAGTCGGCTATCATCTCTTCCCCAACCTTTTTCTACTTTTCTCCCATCTCTGGAACTTATTGGAACCGAGTTATGAAGTACCGTGGCAAACCCCGCCCACTTTGGTGCATGCTCCGCCCGCCAACAACGGTTGACCCCTTTCCCTCTGCCAACCCTCATACGCTTTTTTCCCGGACTCCGGGACTCCTAGGAACCGAGTTATAAGCCTAATTGCAAACTCCGCCCACTTTGATGTAAGCCACGCCCATCCCTGACATTTAGCTTCCCCTCCCCTCCTGACCTCTATCCGTTGTTTTCCGGTCTCTAAGTCATCTCGGAGCCGATTTATGAGCTCTTGTAGAAAATGCTGTCCGCTTCACGACACGCTCCGCCCATTGTGGGCGGGCCTCCGTTCACATCATGCGTGGTGGAAATACCTTAGGCATTGCTCCCCTGCACTAATTTCGTTTCCTGGTCTGTAGGCTTCCTCTTAACCGAGTTATGAATATTTTCACTGAGCACCCATTTTCTAGAGAACGCCCCGCCCACCGAGGGTGGGTCTCCTCAGTTCGATCTGGCTTACCAACCCACACCTATGCCCACTTTTGTCCCGGTCTCGAGGCTGTTTTGTGACTGAATTTGAAATCAACCGATGCACGCCACGCCCACTGTGGGCGGGGCTCCGCTTGGCTGATGTGTGTTTTTTACTTCTAGGGATATGGTATACCCATCCCAAACTTGACCTGGACCCTGTAGGTTGTTGTTCGCTTGATACCGAATTTCGTGACAGACGGACAGACAGACATAGCGCATTATATATATAGGTAGGGAAATTCATTTGCTTGAGCCAGGTTGCCGTCCGCACCCCATTCGCGCGCATTGCACGGGTAGCGGTAGGGACCACGGAAATAGCAAGCCATGATGTCTTCATAAACACTCTCCACATTCAATATGTTCTATACTCTTACAAGGAGTGTCGAACAGGCGTGTGCCACAGCTCTTTTTCGCAAATGGCTTCTATGCATTGCGGGGCACATCATGGGAACCTACAGAAGCAGGGTTCGTCTTTCCTGAACGTCTTCTTCCATCTATAATACCTCCTTTAATTACCTCTTCTCTCCACGCATAGCTAGCGCCATGTTCTCTCGCTCCCTTTTTCTCTCTCCCCCTTCCCTCCCTCTTTCTCTCTCCCCTCCACTCCTTCCGCCTTCCCCCTTTTTGCCCCTCCCTTCTAAGCCTCTCCAGCTGCCACTGCAGCACTATGTAGAATAAGGCTGAGTGTGCTCTATCGGTGTTTATATAGCCGCTGTAGGTGTTATCATGATCATGACATCAACATCACGAAGTGTTGCCTTTCGTACTCCCTGGTTTTGTGAGCCTTATTCTTCTTAAAAACCACTTGAAAACACGAACGATTGAGTTGATTTTTACAATCTTTTCTTGGGTAGAGTAGGTTGGATTCTTATGAAATCGCTTGAAAACACGAACGATTGAGTTGATTTTTACAATCTTTTCTTGGGTAGAGTAGGTGATTATGAAATCGCAGAAGGACGGCAAACCGCTAGAAGCTCAACACTTCAGTTTCTGATCGATGACCGTCCCGCAACATGGTGGCTGTTTGCATCTCACTCATTGGCTATGTGCTTTTGTCTCCAAATCTGTTCGCCCGTCTCGGGCCCAGTGTGTCTCTCCAGATCTTTGCACACCCGGCAACTCCTCTTTATGGAGGAGTGTCTTACATTCAGCGTTTTTGGTAGCCTTTTTTCTCAACTCAAGCCGATGTCAGACTTTGCGAATCGAGCGATTCGCTACTAGCGATTCGCTAGCGTCCGCGGTCGCGTTGCGGTACCAGCCAATTGAGTGATTCACTGGCCGCGACGCGACCGCAGACGCTAGCGAATCGCTAGGAGCAAATCGCTCGCTCGCAAAGTTTGACATCGGACTGACAGTCCACTTCACCTCTCTACTTTTATTTTCAAGCGCACCTGATCGATCATCGGAGATGGTTTTGTTCTTGCGATATCTCGCACCATTTATATTCCCATCAATTACACTGCAAGTCTTTGTCATCTCACGCTGAGCTTACCATTAGATTAGTCCGTCTGTGAAGAATAATATTTGGGTCACGGTGGTGCGAAGCGACGGACCGGAGGACAGCTGGAGGATGCGTCACCCACTCGCTTGGCTCCATAAACCTCGGGTCCCACGAGGCCCTGCATGAGCCACTCCTCCCTCACAAATTGTATTCTGCTGTATTCTTCAAACAGTATTGGCTGAAGGGACGGAACCCCTACTTATAACTCTCTACTATTTTGAGGAGCTGTTGGCTTTTACTACTCGCAGAACTATTAATGAAATCCTGTTCATGTTAAGAAGATAAGTTCCGCTGTTTTTTCACATCGAACTGAACATCCGTAGTTGATCAGTTATCAAAAATAACACACTACGCACCTTTTGGATAACCTCTTCTTCCTTGGCTTTCTCGCCTTCCTT